TTGAAAAATTACGATTTAAAAAAACAAATGTTATGCGATCCTATTTACTAGAAGTAGGTTATCCTTCCTCGGTTATTCATCCTGGTCCGTCATTTTGACATTTTTAATCTAGTTGCGATAACGTAGCTTTCTGACGAAGAGCGATTTTTTTTATTTATTGCGTCGTCGCGCCAGAGGAGGTCGGGTATTAATATTAGTACTAATTTAAATCTTTCATGTAAAAACAAACAAATCGTTTAATTCAGCAATATAATTAAATCATACCATTTTACTAAACCCGGTAATATTATAAATTATGTTAATCTAATAGCGCACGTATCTCATTTGACCCCGAGTACCGACAGAGGAGAGGACAGAATACGCCGTGGCCATCACAACATAACGTTATTCCTTCCTTTAAACCAATACATAATTATAGAAACACAAGGTAAACTCTCTCCGATACATGCCCATTAACATATTAAACTAAGTTCATCTGTGTTCAAACTCAGACAAAGATACTAGCGAGGTTAATAGTTTTAGATATTTATTCATAACATAAGCAGCGCTAGAATTTCTGTCGATTCCATATAGCTTAACCGGCTATCCAGAAGAATTCATGCACCGCACTAACTGCTAGGGCAGTTATTTTCTCCTTTGAGTACTTCCCACCTGCAATAATGATTCCGTAACGTACTCCTTGCGCTATCTTTTGACCATTTGGCAACTTTTTGCTTCGTAACTGACACGGTACAACACTTTTCTTTCGCTTACTTCACACGGCCAGTCATTTTGTTTACAAAGAAATGGTGTGCTATGTGCATGCGTTAAGAGAGGGAAATCCCTGAACAAAACGTTGGTCAGACAGGTAGAAATACCGATGATTATCTTAGATTTAATCATTTTTATGAATCTATTTCAGCCAAATCCGATCGTTGTTTTCCATAAGGAGTCTCACTTGATATCTTTATGTAGTATTTGGGAAAAAAAAAAATAGTTACTTCACCGCGATGCCCCTTTAAACGACTTCTTCTGAATAACTACAGTGCACAGGGTGATTGCTTGTAGATGTGAATGACCATGACACACTTTCATGGTCACATCTTGTCCATAGTGCATAAATCTTTAAGAGACATTTTCTCAATAAACAAAAGTTATAAGGTAGTGATATCTGGCAAGTTGCATTCTGGGATGAAGGGCTATAAAGTGTTTTTAACTTAATGTCCATGTTTGACTTTCAAGGTCACAGGGTCAAATGTGTTTTAATCCTTTAACGAGTTCTTCTGAATGACTTTAAGTCAAGACACTGATATTTTGTCAGATTAATACCAGGTGAGTGATGCAGGACCATTTGGCCTCTTGTTTTTAAACAAGTGACAATCTCATTAAAATTTATTTTCACCGATATCCATGTCAGCTGTATATATAATTCAACTCTTTTTACATATTTATTTCAGAAAACAGTGAATGGAAACTAAAATGGTCGCGATACGCTGGTGTGCAAAGCAGTGGATTTGTTTGACTGTATGGATCTTTGTTCTCTTCTTCGAAAAAACCCCAACAAACAACAGACATCCGTCTAGAGTAGATAAAATTCAACAACCATACATGAATCAGTATATTTTGTGTTTTTATTCAGTATCGCTCCTTGTATCCGTCAGTGCCAGAACCCCTCGAACTGGCACCAATCATGATCGCATGATCTCTCTACTGCCAACATTTCTGCTGATCGGTTAACTGTTTACTCTGCTTAAATTACTGACAAGTAACGCAGAAGTACAACTGCAGGAAAAAATTGATGAATATCACGTTTGTTTGATTTTTATAATTGCGATTTGTGATGTTGTTCTCAAGGATTTCAGAATATATTTTATAGAGACTTTCAACTTTTGTAAGAGACATGGTCTGAAAAGAGTTTGTGTACTAGTTCTTGTTATGACACTGATATCATTCCTGATATTGGGAATTTGGTACCTGTGTGTTACGGGATTGTTCTATGGCCTCGATACACTGCGGATCCTAAACAACGTTCCTTTTAAAAGCATACATTCTGTGGATATTCCTAGAACATCCCAGCATGCAACACAAAAAAGATTGTGCTCAGAAAAAAATATTTCTTTTGCAATGCACAGCGAAGGAAAGGAATATTTGATACCAGAAACAGACTTTACAAAGACGGACAAGATCGCTGATTGGAATGTAACACAAATCACATACAAAGTAATGAAATTAGAGGACAAGGAACTTAAATGTGACTATTCCGTAACGATGCGCGAGTTTCGCATTCGAAACATGGAAATTGTGTGGAAATTTAACGATGTTTTGCTAAATAACAAGTACCGCTATATATCAAAACTGGACAGTACTCTGATTATATATTCAGTTAATGAAAATGACTTTGGTATTTACACTTGCTGGCTAAAGACGACAACTATTTATTCGGACTTTATCAATGTAGTCAGTCTTGAAATTGCGATTTTTACTCTGGAACCACTTCCGGCAACGTTATCGAGGGTTCGTGCTCCTATTGGGTCTCTTATCGAAATGGAATACCCGAGTGCAGAATTCCACAGGAATGTGCATCATGTACAGTGGACATTCGCTCACATTTTACAAGGAAAACCTTTGAAAGCTTCAAAGAAAACATTACCGCATTTATCTGGGTGCACTCTCTTCACGAATATATTTAGATCCTTGATTTACTGTCAATTCCTCAAAATTTCGCCTTGTTTTCGAGTGCCTTATTTGGGAACATATTATCTGGATAACAGTTATTTCATATCTACACTTGTGTCATGTGTAGATCCTAATTTTTTCGGAATGCATTCGCTGCAAATTAACAGAAACGTTTACAACAAAGAAACTTGGGAATCTGAATACGTTTCCGAAGGGACAAATGCTTTCTTCCTCATAGAACCAACTTCACCCATAAATTTACTCATTTGGGGAAGTTGGTTTGATAATAACAACGAAACAGTTACTGTTGAGACTGATGACAATGATATCAATATGCGTAAGACATACATTTCGGATAAATATGAATACGTGTCGGAGTCGGCCGCCATTATATTGTTACTAAGGTTGCTTGTGGAGGGGGTCATTTGCTTCATATTGATAGTGGTATGCGGTAGATACCTGCAAAATGTCTGGAATACAATTAAACACATCATAATCATACCTGTGAAAAACAGAATCCTAAAACAAACACCGTGTCTAAAACAAATCTGTTTGAAAAGACACGATGTGATGATACTTTGTTCCGATGAGGACGGTGACACTGCTGTAGGGGACTGTGTCGCCGATTCCCTTGAAACCTTAGCACTGAAACCATGCTTAGCACACAGAGACCTGACCCACCTAGGCAACAAACTGAAAAATGACGTGTATTTTGATGCAATGAACGAAAGTTCCAAAATTGTTATCGTACTTTCTGAAACATTCCTAAAGGACAACTACCTCCATAACTTTATTTTTCACCTTATGATACCGGAACTTATCGCCGACAAGAAACTATCAGTAAGAGATATGCTTGTGTTAGAAATAGACTGTAACTCGCGACCAGAAGTTGAACAAGCCATTCCCGGTGCCCAGATAATTCAAGGAACATTGCAGAAGAAAACACATCTTGAGACGCAAATAATGTACTGGGCGGTAAAAACATTTCCTGTTTCGATACATTTGCAGATGAAAGTAGTTTTTAGAAAAATAGTTTCGCTTGTCTTAGAATACGATTGATTAACGCTGTTTTTTTTTTTTTTGTATCTCAATGTCAACTTCTAAATACACTTAAACAATAACTCTCAAATCATCATATTGATATTCATTTGGTTTGGTTTGTTTGTGTTTTACGTCCTATTAACAGTTATGGTCATTAAGTGATTTTGGCCACGATTTTTTACATTTGAAAAAAATAAGCGAAACCTGTAATATACAGATTACAATATACAGAGTGGCACGTTTTGGTCACTGGTCCATATGACAGTAGCTAGGGTTCAGGAACTACACCCATCCTATATATTTCTGATTTGTTTTAAATATTTGCTTTAGATATCGGCTAAAATCGGGTTACGAAAATGAAAATGCCCTTCCCAACTTCATTTTTTGTTTGTTTATTTTTTGCATTTCACTTCAAATCAGTAACATGCAAGTATATAAGTGTGAAAGTAGCAAATACTTTTCTCTCTAATGTGTACTGAAATATATGAAAAAGTGTACCGGTCTGAAGCATTATTTGCCTACTCTGTTCAACAACAATGAACATATTTTTTTACAACATCTTTATAAATAATTAAACAGATTCGTCACTCAGGTGTGGCTTAAGTAATTACTCAAAACCCAAGCACAAACAAATATTGTTTCATGTTCAAAATATATTTTTCAGAAAAGATAAAGGTTCGCTAATTTCCACTCAATGCTAGCTTCAAATTATTCTTGAAATTCAAACTAGAAATAGAAAAGAATTCTGGTTATACAAAATAAAACGAAATCAAATCAAATCTTTATACACGATGTCTTGACCTACATGTAGTAGCCTCAGCTCATTCACAAAATTTAAACCCCTGTGAATATTAGCAACTATGCAGTAGCAAAGTGGAAAAAAATATCATCAGAAATTTTTAAAACCTGTTTTACTTTTTTACAAAATATAAATAGTTATGGCTTGGATTCATGGTAAATGTATAGAAAAGCAAACACTATGAGTGATATGACAGGAGTCAATAACCTCAAGACATGACAAAGAAATAAAACGTTCAAATGACAAGACAGCTTAAAGGAACAACATGAACCTCTGTTGAGGTGAAATCAGGTGTACTGGGGGTCAAAGGGAATGTCAAATTAGGTTTCATTGTTGCTATTTGTTTTCATGGAAAAGTTTGTATGCAAATTTAATTGTTTGTTTGATATGCAGAAAGTATATACATAAGGGTTGATGTAACAAATTAAGTTTGATATTAAGTAAATATTTTCAGAATTGATATCCATGTACCTGGGTATGTGAAATATTGTAACAACTAATATCACACATGTATTTTTTTTTATTTCATATGAAAATCACTTATTACTCATAAATCAAAATCTTAAACAATACTATTCAAAAGTTGTTTTCCACAGTAATGGACATTGCAAACAAATTCAACAGCAAACAACTATAGTCAATTTAGTTGTAATGTTTTGATACAAACATGCTTTGTTGAAATTGAGAAGAAAATGAGAAATACAATTAGATATCATCATTTGTCAAAATAACAATAAAATCAATAAAATTAGTCTGAATGTTTTGAAAAATGAAAATGTACTGATTCATTACCATATCTTATAGTCTGTATAATATGATTTACTTTTTTGCCATCAATGTGTTTACAATGGAATCAAATAATATATATAAATCTTATTTTTTCTATATTTACTTCCTTCACATGGACATTTAATCCCTTTTTCTTATATATACCTATATATATATAAAAATTGAACTGAATGATGTTTAACAAATGTACCAGAAGGCCATAAAACCTTTTATCAACAAGATATTTTTTGAAGTATTGAACCACAAAAATAGAAGTACTCACTAATGTTTTATTATAACATGTATGCTATAAATGTTGACACAAGATACTTTTCATATGTACCTTGACGCCAACAATTAGTAAATGTATTTTGATCATTTGAACTCATTCACCTCTGAAATTTCATAATAAACTATTACAACCTTTGAATTGGAACAGTTCAAATGTGTCTTCAGGGATGAATGAGTTTAAGTGACAAAGATCACCATTACTATTTTGATATATCTTTGGGTTTAAGGACATATCAAAGCCCTTATGAAGATATATGGAGTCGGCTCAGTATAATGATAAAACAAAGTAAGTTAGGAATGGTTTTCATCAAATTGTTAGCCCAGATTGGATGGCATGGTGTTAAGTGCTCTCGTATTCTCCACTTGGATGTGAAAGTGTAATGGGTCACCAACTTGATCACATGGATTCTCTTGATCACATGGATTCCCTTGATCACATGGATTCTCAAGTTTCCTCCCACATTCAGATCGTCTGCACTGTTACTTCCATCCAGGCCAATAATAGTGATAAATATAAGTTGGACAAATTTGTTTCATACTTTTAATATAAATACAGATTTATATTTATATTAATTGTTGTGATAGCGGTATCTTACAAATATTAACAGTATAGCTATGAATACCAGTACAAAAACTATGTATCTCTTATAGGTGATAAACTTCATTAATTTTACAACAATTATGAAACAAGTTATATCAACTTATATTAGTCACCGTTGTTGGCCTGGATGTTATCACACAGGTGGGTCTTTATGTGGAAGGAAACTGGAGTACCTGAAGAAATCCAACGTAGTCAATCAGGGAACCATATCCTGGCCATCTTGGCCTATGCCTCTCTTATTAGAATGCCCTGAATTAAGTATTAAAGGATATTTCTAAATCAGCCTAGGAATGAACAATACCTAATAAAATAGTGAAATTTAGTTTTTTCAATGGAATGAAATTTTCCCTTTGTTTTAAAAATAAAGTTAAATCTCAAAACTCATGAAATTTTGGTAAGTGTTACTAATATGACTAGAGATACTGCTGACATACTCTTAAGTTAAAAATAAAGTGAAAAAAAAAGACTAGAATGAATAGCAAAATGTGTATATATTTGGACATAGTTGTGTATAATTGGATATAGTTGTGTATAATTACTTCAAATTGGCAGGCCTATAGCTGCCGTTGTAAGCAAATAAGATGTAGCAGGAACATTAAAAATCCTCGCATGTACTTTTTAGTTTGTGTTTTTTGTGTGTGGTCCAAACTGATGATTAACACTCAAATATTGGTCTCAAATGCCACCGGATAGCACCACATCTCTTCTATGTTTCAAAATGTCTCCGTCCCTTATTAGCCTCCAAAGATGGCTGAAGTGTGCATGCATATGGCTTACAGTCCAGCTACACACCTGAAAGTTCGGTCTCAACATATTTAAGTATATTTATGTGGTACAAAAAACAAAACACGACTAGAATTGATAAAAATATCATTTAGGAATGAATGGTAAACAATGGAAGAAAGAATGTTGAAGGGATGAATATTCAAAACAGCATCTGCAGCATTGCTTTGTTATCAAACAACCAATGTTTCATAAATACATAATTTCTTAATCATATCAAGCCTTCAAATGAAATTCTCTTTGGGAAGAAAATTTAGAAATGGAAGTGGAACCAAAAAATATTTCAAAACAGTGTTAAAGTAAATAAGTATGTAGTTACAACTCACAGCTCACAGGTGATGAGCCATATGCTCTGCATTACAGCTCGCCCCCTATTTGAGAAATAATAATAACATGTTCATTATCTTATTCTCACATTAAGTCAGATGTGATGATGAATTTGATACCTTCATCACATCAATGGGTCAAATATGAATCTGAATCATATGAAATATTTATAACTATATCTGTCACACATTTCAGAGATGGACACCAACTGCGAATTAAGGCCTTTATTGTTATCATTCAATCTATCTAAACTGAACGAAATATCTGATGCAACTTGATTCATAAATGAATAAGTACATATTATTAATTTGTGTTTGAAAGTGATAAACACTCCATGTGACTGAAACATGTTGACTAGCTTTTCATTTCCCCACTGGAGTAACGTGACAAAAACAATTATTGGACTTATAAACATGGTAAAAATATTTCACAAAAACGACTTAACATAATTATATAATCATAATCATGGCAAAATTTTGTGGAAATCAGTTTTCTTTATAGTATACTGACCAATCAGAATTCAGCTGTGTGCTAAAACAGAAACAATTCTCCACTGATTACGATTTTTTCTGATAGCACATTGTAATATTCCAAAACACACATTATAACATTGTATTTTACAGACCTGTAGAAATTTATTTTTTAAAAAGTCTGCGAAAATGAATGTTTGATGGATGAACGGGACCCATCCAATAGTTTCTAGTACAGAAGTTCTGATTGGAGACTGATTACTGTACACATACTGAATTTAGCCCACTGAAATTTTAGCAGACATTATCCTTTTTTAATAGATTAATGCATTGATGAATTGGCGCACCCCGAAATATGCAACAGAGACCTATATACAAGAACTTCAATTGCCGCATTCATAATTTAGTTCAATAATTAAAATGCGAAATAGAGCTGAAATAAGATTATACCACTAAAATAAGAATGTTAACAGTAACATAACTGACATACAGTACAAGAAAGCTTAAACAAAATTAAGAGAGAAAAGTAATCAATGACCCTTTCTCCCTAAATAATAAAATTTTGGTCCCACTGACATTGAAATATAGCACTATGACATGTTTTTAATCTTTAATCAATGCTACATGTTAATTATTACCGTATTTATAATAAATGCATAAAACAACAAAAACAAATTTCTGACTAGCAGTTATGTTTACATCAATATCAATATTTGTATATACTAAAACAGCAAAATACAACATGAAATAGATCATTGGCAAGAATTTCTATGTAAATGGCAAAGATATTAAACACATATACATGTATATATACACACAGGGTTACCAGGGTGACAACAAGACTAGGACGGCATCAATGGACTTTGGACTGATACAAAAATCACACCTTTTGTTATTATGTTCTATCAGAAACGGTCTGACATTGACAGACTTTGGACTGATACAAAAAACTCCTTTTGTTATTATGTTCTATCAGAAACAGCCTGACATTGACAGACTTTGGACTGATACAAAAATCACACCTTTTGTTATTATGTTCTATCAGAAACGGTCTGACATTGACAGACTTTGGACTGATACAAAAAACTCCTTTTGTTATTATGTTCTATCAGAAACAGCCTGACATTGACAGACTTTGGACTGATACAAAAAACTCCTTTTGTTATTATGTTCTATCAGAAACAGCCTGACATTGACAGACTTTGGACTGATACAAAAACCACACCTTTTGTTATTATGTTCTATCAGCATTGGCAAGAATTTCTATGTAAATGGCAAAGATATTAAACACATATACATGTATATATACACACAGGGTTACCAGGGTGACAACAAGACTAGGACGGCATCAATGGACTTTGGACTGATACAAAAATCACACCTTTTGTTATTATGTTCTATCAGAAACGGTCTGACATTGACAGACTTTGGACTGATACAAAAAACTCCTTTTGTTATTATGTTCTATCAGAAACAGCCTGACATTGACAGACTTTGGACTGATACAAAAACCACACCTTTTGTTATTATGTTCTATCAGCATTGGCAAGAATTTCTATGTAAATGGCAAAGATATTAAACACATATACATGTATATATACACACAGGGTTACCAGGGTGACAACAAGACTAGGACGGCATCAATGGACTTTGGACTGATACAAAAATCTCACCTTTTGTTATTATGTCCTATCAGAAACAGTCTTACATTGACAGACTTTGGACTGATACAAAAACCACACCTTTTGTTATTATGTTCTATCAGCATTGGCAAGAATTTCTATGTAAATGGCAAAGATATTAAACACATATACATGTATATATACACACAGGGTTACCAGGGTGACAACAAGACTAGGACGGCATCAATGGACTTTGGATTGATACAAAAATCACACCTTTTGTTATTATGTTCTATCAGAAACGGTCTGACATTGACAGACTTTGGACTGATACAAAAATCACACCTTTTGTTATTATGTTCGATCAGAAACAGTCTGACATTGACAGACTTTGGACTGAAACAAAAAACACACCTTTTGTTATTATGTTCTATCAGAAACAGTTTGACATTGACAGACTTTGGACTGATACAAAAACCACACCTTTTGTTATTATGTTCTATCAGCATTGGCAAGAATTTCTATGTAAATGGCAAAGATATTAAACACATATACATGTATATATACACACAGGGTTACCAGGGTGACAACAAGACTAGGACGGCATCAATGGACTTTGGATTGATACAAAAATCACACCTTTTGTTATTATGTTCTATCAGAAACGGTCTGACATTGACAGACTTTGGACTGATACAAAAAACTCCTTTTGTTATTATGTTCTATCAGAAACAGCCTGACATTGACAGACTTTGGACTGATACAAAAAACTCCTTTTGTTATTATGTTCTATCAGAAACAGTCTTACATTGACAGACTTTGGACTGATACAAAAACCACACCTTTTGTTATTATGTTCTATCAGCATTGGCAAGAATTTCTATGTAAATGGCAAAGATATTAAACACATATACATGTATATATACACACAGGGTTACCAGGGTGACAACAAGACTAGGACGGCATCAATGGACTTTGGATTGATACAAAAATCACACCTTTTGTTATTATGTTCTATCAGAAACGGTCTGACATTGACAGACTTTGGACTGATACAAAAATCACACCTTTTGTTATTATGTTCTATCAGAAACGGTCTGACATTGACAGACTTTGGACTGATACAAAAAACTCCTTTTGTTATTATGTTCTATCAGAAACAGTCTTACATTGACAGACTTTGGACTGATACAAAAACCACACCTTTTGTTATTATGTTCTATCAGCATTGGCAAGAATTTCTATGTAAATGGCAAAGATATTAAACACATATACATGTATATATACACACAGGGTTACCAGGGTGACAACAAGACTAGGACGGCATCAATGGACTTTGGATTGATACAAAAATCACACCTTTTGTTATTATGTTCTATCAGAAAAAGTCTGACATTGACAGACTTTGGACTGATACAAAAAACTCCTTTTGTTATTATGTTCTATCAGAAACAGCCTGACATTGACAGACTTTGGACTGATACAAAAAACTCCTTTTGTTATTATGTTCTATCAGAAACAGCCTGACATTGACAGACTTTGGACTGATACAAAAACCACACCTTTTGTTATTATGTTCTATCAGCATTGGCAAGAATTTCTATGTAAATGGCAAAGATATTAAACACATATACATGTATATATACACACAGGGTTACCAGGGTGACAACAAGACTAGGACGGCATCAATGGACTTTGGATTGATACAAAAATCACACCTTTTGTTATTATGTTCTATCAGAAACAGTTTGACATTGACAGACTTTGGACTGATACAAAAACACACCTTTTGTTATTATGTTCTATCAGTAACAGTCTGACATTGACAGACTTTGGACTGATACAAAAAACTCCTTTTGTTATTATGTTCTATCAGAAACAGCCTGACATTGACAGACTTTGGACTGATACAAAAAACACACCTTTTGTTCTTATGTTCTATCAGAAACAGTCTGACATTGACAAACTTTGGACTGATACAAAAACCATATTCTTTGTTGTAATGTTCTATCAGAAACAGTCTGACATTGACAGAATATGGACTAATACAAGAACCACACCTTTTGTGATTATGTTCTATCAGAAACAGTCTGACACTGACAGACTTTGGACTGATACAAAAACCATATTCTTTGTTGTTATGTTCTATCAGAAACAGTCTGACATTGACAGACTTTGGACTAATACAAAAGACCATACTTTTAGTTTTTAATTTTTCATCTGCTGGATGTCCAAATTACTTGGTTACAAGTTAAGTCGTCATGATAACCACTCAAATAAACAAACGGAAATAGTCCGACATTAACAGACTTTGGACCGACATGAAATACCACATTTTTAGTTATCATGTTTTCGTCTCCTGGATAACCGAACTTCTCTGTAGTGAAAGGGATGTTAAACCACTAAAACAAACAGCTACATGTATGACGTTCTATCGGAAACAGTCACACATCAACACTTTGGACTGACATGAAAACCACCTCAAGTTATTTTCTTTCGAAAACAGTCCGGCATCGACAGGCTTTGGACCCACACGAAAGACAGCACTTTTATGAGTCCGGCATCAACAGGCTTTTGACTCGCAAGAAAGACAAAACTTTTTGTTATGTTTTATTAAAAGTGAGGAGTATGTTTTTTTTCACACATAATCATAAACCTTATTTAATTGGAACATCACATTTTGCTTGTAACCATGACAATAAAACCGTAAATTCTACTACGAAAATATATACACGTGAGACATTACATGTAACATATATTGTGACAACTGTTGTGAGATTTTCCTCTTGGACGACAAAATTATGAATGAAATCCACTCCAATATCTATCTAAAAATATCAATTTCTAAATTGATGCATTTCTTACTATGATTATACAGTTGTAAATTCATAAAAAGATTGAAATGCATCTTTGGAACATTAATGGTAGTTCTGTACAAACATATATCATGATGCCTGGTACATGTAGCTGTTACTACCAGAAAAATGAAAATATATGTTTCATCTCTCTAACCACGGAAGAAAAATATCACAATAAAAAAATATTTGTATCCATCATTGGAAACAGTAAATGCAAAAAATCCTCAGATTCCTTTTAAAATATCAACAATATAATTAAGAAGTATATATTGAAAATTAACTGACTAGTAATCACCTGAAATGCATTGAAAGTGTATTTATATTAAAAACATTTTTTTTCCAGATAGCAGAATACGAATAAAGGGCTACCCATAGGGATATATTTTAACAGATTGCAATTTAACTGAAACGCTGCAGTATGCACATAGGGCTAATGAAATAATGCATACCTATCAACCTATTTTGAACCCCAATATTGGGCCAGTATTAATCAAATGTGTGCTTGACTAAACCAAACCCAGAATTCTGGTAGATACTGGTAGAAATAGAAAATATTTTCCTTTAATTCGCACCAGTCAATTTTTTTACTGGTTTTAATAATGGAAACTCTTAAACGCACACCTAAGAAAAGTACATGCTTTGATGTTGATTAGCAAGGTACAATGTGTGTCTGATGTAAAAAAATAATCAATTTTGGTTAAATCATAGATATTGTTTCAAAACCATATCAATATTTACTCTCAGGCCTTAAATTGGGTTAAGTCTTCAAATATCAAGTCAAAATATTCACAGAATCTCATTTGTTTTAGGCCCTTAATCATGTACATGTTTTAAATTGATTATTACATACAACCATATCTGTAAAGAGGGCAAAAAAACATTTTACTTTTGCCATAAAAATAAAGTTAAATAAAATTACTTCGAGTATACATAGTCTACACACTAGCTGGAATGAATTCAACATGGCACAAAATCATTACATAAATAACGGGCAAAATTTAACTGAAATATATATATACATATGCTTAAAGAAAATGCAAGAATCAACTGGAATATAAACATAGGCCTCTCTTTATATTTTTTGTTTACAGTCATTTTATAGGGGAAATTAATTTGAGGAAAACAACATTTGAAAAAAGAATATCACAATAGTTCTAGACTTCCAGGGCGATATGTACTGCAAACATAGAGATTCGTGGACATAACAAAACTGTGATTTTGTTACTGATCGAAACAATATTCATTTCTGTGTCCAGTTGTCTCCTTCACCTTCTACACGCCAGGGAATATCAGCAGTCCAAACACATGTCTGACCTTGACTCAATGTGCTGCAAGTATTAATGATCCCTGTCCCATTTCAGGCAAAATACTAGAGAGTTCCACTGTAGTCTTCTGTACAACCAGTAACCTCCCTTTGTTTTGGGTTAAACTGTAACACGACTGGGCCATCATCACTGTTTCTACCATTAACTAAGTTAAGGAGCTCAGTTGGCTCGAGACATACTATTATGGTTTGGAGGTCCAGGGTTGGGATATGACTGGCCCCATTGCAGTTTTGCACTCAGAACACTGTTGATGTTTCATTTAGTCTATTTAATGAAAATTAAAAAAAAAAGTTCTTCAAAGTATTGCTTTCTTTACAGAAATGATAAGCTATAGTCATATTGCTAATAGCTATATGCCATAAAAAAGTAACAGTGCAGTGGGATCCTTGATGACAAATTTGCATTAATTACTTTTCAGTAATATCCTGATTTGAAAGTATTTTTCTTTGTTTTTTTCTAAAGCAAACTCTTTACCTAATTTTTCATTTTTTTATCAATGTATTTATAAATGTGACTTAACTGTAATGGCACTGATCTAGAACTAAAGTACTCACAATCATACTCATAAAAATTTGTACAAAAGTTGAACAGTTTTACATAAAAATATAATCTGGATGAATGAGATCATTCCACCAGTTGTCTCCCTTGACTCTACGACCTGGTTCACTAGAACTTCAGTCACTTTTTATTTCAAGACCAGAGTTGCTTCCCTTTGAATGTACAAGTCAAATGAGTCAAAACTATTGCACAGGCTATGAACACTCTGCACCTGTAAACAACACGGAGGTTCACCATAAAAAATCTGCAGTAACCTGTCAGGTAAATCCAAAGCACTTTGCACATAATTTGATTAAACTGCCACATCTTGCTCTGAACAACCACATTATGTCTGCATGACCATGTGACTTTTGCCATCTGGACGTCCGGTCAGGAAATAAGTGGTCATATCTCCTTTGCCCTTGACCTTGACGATGCCGCGGCACTTGAGCTCGTACCCCCGGACAGATAGGATGTTATGCATGTCTTGTGTCACCTAGAAATAAAAACAGCATTTTCTCATTAAAACTCAATTGTTTATAAAAAAAAAAAATAATACCTGATCATAACAGAATATATTTCACCTTCTTTTTAGCATCATATCAATTTCATTTCAATAAAAAAAATCCTAACAAAATATCAAATATGGAATTTCCTCCACAATGCTAGATTATATGTGAAGCAATCTAGTCAAGTGATGGATCAGAGTCAGGCCCAAGACACAGCATCCATTTAGAATCATTGTATAACAAAGTTGTATACTTTAACCCTTTTTGCTTTGCATTCTAGTAACAAAATAGTTCAAACATACTGTACTTTACTTTACTAAAGTGTTTTTTTCTGTTTTCACATCCTTTTAACTATAGCTATGGATGTGCCAGGTTTTTGTGGTGGAAGAACACCAGAGTAACTGGAGAAAAAACATGGACCGATGGCCTCAAACCCACGACCTGGTGTTGGAAGGCTAGTGATTGTAGATCTAGATGGCCAGATGCCTTAACTATAGTAACAATACATGGTGTTTCTAAATTGTGTCTGTATAAGAATTGCTTCCCTTTAAACATATTCCAAATCCTCATAGATTAAAATGTGTTAAAAAAGGAACAAAGATACGTAACATTGTACATAGATGGGCAAGAGACTGAAAGTCTGTATCTAGCATAGATTAGAGCGATATTACATGAAAAGGCAAAGAATTTCTGCAAAACCTTTGGTATCGAAAAACTTACAAAATGCCATTACTTTGCATAAAGTGGACAAATCGGGAAAATCAGATAAATAAGTAAAATGGGGACATTTACAGGAAATCAGAAAATTCGTGTAAGTCAGGGATCAGGAAAAATTGGAAATCAAACACCTAACTTACCTGTATACTGTTGGGTAGTCCGGTACTGTCCATACGACTTGCCACATTCACGCTGTTCCCCCAGATGTCATAGTGAGGCTTGCGGGCTCCAATTACTCCACTGACGACAGGCCCCACATTCATCCCTGAAATCAAAACGGCCAAACTGAACCTTCATTTTGAGAACAAGAGCACCGCAGGGCGGAACAATATATGCCCGTTGAATGCCATATAGTGTTATATACTTTCTTACATTGAAATAAGATCTGCATCATTCTAAGAGTGGTTAGCTGACATGCTATAAAACAAGAGGCCCATGGGCCTTTAACGGTCACCTGATATATTTATACAGAGAGTTGATTTTGTTTTTGACATGAACAGAAATATTATTCAAAGTGACAAAAAACAATAAAACCACCTTATTGAATATCTAGCATACAGATTTCAGACTAAAAAGTATTTGAAACTAGCACCTCTGATTCTAAACAAGGAAAATGAAGAAATTTTAGCACACTGACTCCTTTGAGCCCCACCCTACAGCCCTCGGGGGTAGGGCTGGCTCAAAATTTTCAAAGTATCAAACTGTCGACTCAAGGTTATAATTCCAATCAAGTTATTAACATGTAATATTCAAAGTATCATTTGCCATTATAAACCATAATAAATTTTGCCCCCCCCCCTCTCCTTCCTCAGGGTATAAATGTGAGACCCTAGGGTCATAAACCTTAAGACCCTTCCATCTATGAAGAGTATTTGATTCTACCATATCTGGGTCTTGAGAAGAAGATTTTTGAAATTTCAGTAAATTCGACCCTTTTTGGCCCCACCCATCAGCCCCTGGGGGTCAGTCAGGGCTGATATGTGCTTATTATCAAACTGCTACCTAATACTGATAATGCTAACCCAAATTGAATTACTTCCAATGGAAATTAAACAAATGTTGGTCCAAAATGTGATTTCCCTATATAAACTATAGTAAAGTTTACCCCCTCCCCAGGGGGAAA